ACTCTTGGTTTAGGTCAGTGGGCCCCTTTACGGAGCATGCTTGGTGGTTCACTAACTTCATATGCTTCGGGCTTAACTGTTTAATTAGTAGGGAGGCTAAGAGTCGAAACAAACATGAAGTTATTAAACGGAGAAGCTGCAACACACCGGCAGTTATTAACGGAATTAAATGGAGAAGTAAAATCCTTTAAAAGAGAACACAAGGCAAAAGACAATGTACCACCTCATAAAGCAAGTGATTACACCAACATTTTTTTCAGCCCTAAAATGTCCTAACTCTCATTGACAATTATAAGATTTAAGATAAGACATACTACGTACATCACAAATTGATTCCTTACTACCTATAAATACTTATACTCCCTCCGGTTTTATTTAATCTTCACACTTTGACTTCACACAAAATAAGGAAAGAAATTTGACTTTACTGTAGAGTACACTGTTGAGGCACTGTTTGACACTGTTTGGCACTGTAGAGACACTGTTTGACACTGTTGAGACACTGTTTGGCACTGTTTTGATGTAGATTTCTTTGCCAAAAATGGAAATAAGGAAGTGTGAAGTTTATTTTAGACCATCCCAAAAAGGAAAGTGTGAAGTTTATTAAAAACCGGAGGGAGTATATGTACATACTACGTACATCACAATTTTTTTCTTAGAAGGGCCGAGGCCTTCTCCAGCCCCTCTATGTATAAGTATGAGTTTAGTTAATTGTGTTCCCTCCTATGCCTCAGAAGTCTTTAAATAAAATGGTTTTAATGTGAAATCAATGTTATTATGCTTTGACCACCTTTATTCTGAGAGGAAGTATGCAAACATATAAAACATGATACTCCTTCCGTCCCAATTTGTTTTGCAAAGTCAAAATTTTTTGGTAAACCAATAATAAAAGTCAATCCTCTTTACGGATAATTAACTCTATTTTTAATAATTAAAATTTACATATTCATAAACTATATTGAAATCTTTTCAAAGTTGTAAACACCAAATTAGAATATAATTAAAAATTGACATCCTAATTAAGCGAACCAAACAAAACTGTTTGACCAAGAAAAGTCAAATTTGCAAATCAATTTGGGACAGAGGTAGTATAAGATTATCAACATGTTACCATCTCGTTGAATCAAAATCTAGTTAAAATTACATATGTCCATTTTATTAATGAGTTATGTTATCTACGTATATTAGTATGTATGGTATGCCTTGATGACTTGATAGTTAACTTTAGCTATATACCTAGCTAAAAAAACTAAAGGTCAACAAAGTTAACGGATTACTAAAGCTCAAAGTTAACGGAGGCAAGTGTCTAAACGTCCAAGTGTCTACAAACTGTCAAAGTTGTACAACTCTCTCAAAGTTGTACAACTTTTACATCTAAAGATCTATTCTACTTAGCAAATTTTTAAACTACTCCCTCCGTCCCAAAAAATTGTTCCCAATTTTCTTTTTGGGTCGTCCCAAAAAATTGTTCCACTTTCCCCTTTTGGAAAGTTTTGTGTAACTCACATTCATTTACTTTTTTCTTACACTACTACAATCATACGTTTCCACTTTATTCCTACTTTCTTAAACTCCGATCCAAGTCAATGCGGGAACAACTTTTTGGGACGGAGGGAGTATATGTTATGTCCTTACCTCTATTCATGTTTATAAGATTGTAAGAAACAAGTTACACCAACATTTTTAAGCTACATGTTATGTCCTTACCTATTAAAGTTTTGTCACTTTCCTATTAAAGCAACTAGTTTGTGATTTTGCACATTGCTCTCTCCTCTGCACAAATCTCAACCACACATTTTTTATTATTCTTATTTCTCACATACTTTGCACTTGGCAAAGTCCAATTGGACAGAGGGAGTAAAAATTATTAAATCTAAAATATAAATAATAAAAACTATAAATAAATTCCTAAAGTGAATGAGAAGAGAATTAATTTTGGAGGAAGTACAGTGATTATTACAACGAAATTAAGTGTAATAATGTTAATTGAACGAAATAAGTGCAAAATGCACATATTTTAAATAAGGTTATTTTCTTCATTCAACATTTAAATTAAAACGAAATTTTCTTTTTTCTTATGGATTTTCGGTCATACAAAAGTCTAAAAACAAAATTAGTCATATTTAGAGCGGTTTAATGCACTTAACCCCTTCGTGATATGGAAATTTGGCGCATTAGCCCCATGTGATTTAAAAAATGCATCAAATCCTCTTGTGTTTTAATTAATTATGCTCAAATTCTTTCTATGAACAAACTAAATTTTCAAATAAAACAAAAATGATTAACATTTTTGTATGATTTAGTGATTTTGACATATTTACTTGCATATTCAATCAGAATATTAGGAAAATTGATTTACAAATCGTTAAATTTATTCATAAAAGGCGTTATGTATGATTAATTAAAACACATGGGTGTTTGACGCCTTTTTCAAAGCATAAGAGGCTAATGCGTCGAATTTCCATATCACGGGAATTTGTTGCATTAAACCCATATTTAGAGAAACTTAATGAGTTTTAGTCCTATCCTAAAAATTGTCCTTACTACTCCCTCCGTTCCAATTTGATGATCCCGTATTTCCTTTCTGGGTCGTCCCAAATTGATAGTCTCATTTCCCTTTTTGGAAAGAAATATGTGGTCCACATCATTTCACCTTTTTCTACTCAAATCTCAACCACAACTTTTACCTTTTCAACCACTTCCTTAACGTTTGAGTCCAAAAGAAATGGGATCATCAAATTGGGACGGAGGGAGTAATAATTAGGTGCGAGTAGCAACACTGCAACACTTTTTGGGATGACCTTGCTCATGTTTCATGGCTGACGTAGTCAACTTGGATGACTCTGCTCGTGCCTCATGGCTGACGTAGTCAACATTGCTAAGACCACACCCTATTTATACACTCCTCACAAAATTGCAGAGGAAAAGAGCATTATAATTCAATAGCTACATACCGAAACTCAACACTTCGTCCAGATTAATTAAGAAGTAATGGAGCTGGTCTTCATACCCACACCTATTATGGGTCACATAGTATCGGCTGTCGAAATGGCAAAGCGGATCAACGACGGCGGTAGCGATGAGGTTATTATCACCATTCTCATATTGCAGCAACGGTCTTTCGATCCCGAAATCAGCCATTACATCCAGTCCCAAACGACGATGGCGGCAGATGACTCCCGCCATCCGAGCTCATTGAAGTTTGAGACGCTCACGCTGCCGCCGCCGGCCACCGACGCTCCTGCAACAGGGGTGCGGTCGGTGGACGCCTTCAAACCCCAAGTCAGAGACTGGGTTTCCCGGAAAAACCTCCGATCTTCGGGAAGGTTGACCTTCGTGGTTGACTTTTTCTGTACGGCCATGGTCGACGTCGGGAAAGATCTCGGCATCCCAACCTATGTGTTCTTCACCTCCGGCGGCAACGTTGGGGGTTCTCATTTTCTCTCTCGAGACCATTAAATCATTATCCGATCATCCTAACAATCCCACCCCCTTCTTAGACATCCCCAGTTACCGAAACCCATTTCCGGCAGAGTGTCTGCCGCCGCCGCTTCTCAATAAGAATTCCTTCCAGACCTTCCTCGACATATCCGAACGGATCAGAGGGGCGACAGGAGTGCTGGTCAACACGTTCCTCGAGCTTGAATCACACGCGGTCAACGCCCTGAATGACGACCCACTCACCCCGCCGATCTACCCCATCGGCCCATTGCTAAATCTGGAAACGGCGGCCGCCGGCGGCGAAAAAGGGCAGATTTTGGAATTTCTAGACAGCTTTCAGGAGCAGGGATCTGTCTTGTTCCTTTGCTTCGGGAGCATGGCTCGTTTCGGTGCTGAAGATGAGGAGCAAGTGAAGGAGATCGCTACGGCTCTAGAGCGGAGCGAGCAGAGGTTCTTGTGGGCATTCCGGTCAGCAGAGGATGACGGCGGTCAAGGAAGGCGGCTGCTGCCCGATGGGTTCCTGGAGAGGACGGAAAAGGTGGGGAAGGTGGTCAACGGGTGGGTCCCTCAGGTCGCCATACTGGCCCACCCAGCTGTGGGAGGCTTCATTTCCCACTGCGGATGGAATTCCACTCTGGAGAGCCTCTGGTTCGGGAAGCCGATCGGAACCTGGCCTATCGGAGCAGAGCAAGAAGCCAATGCCTTCCTCTTAGTGAAGGAGATAGGGGCCGGAGTGGAGATTAAGCTGAGTTCAAAGAAGGTTTCCAACGGAACTGATCAATTGGTCTCAAATGTTGTGCCGGAGGCGGAGATTCAACGGGGAATCGCCCAGCTTATGGATCCTCTGAATCCGGTTAGGCTAAGGGCAAAAGAATTGGGTGAAATGAGCAGACTGGCACTAGCGGAGGAGGGCGGCTCGTCCTACACATCCCTCCGATGCTTTGTTCAAGATGCATTTCATCACCACCAATGGACTAGAGGCACTTACTTAACTTTTCTCACAGATGTGTTCATATACCTGCTGAAATGGTTCTATAGAGTTATTTTCTACAAATAAATGGTGGTTCACAAATATTTAGGGTCGGTTTACTAACAGATATATTTTTCAATTTTCCAGAAAACTGGAAAACAGAAAACAGGAAACGTGTTAAACAAAGAAATTGCTAGAAAACTGGAGAAAGGAAAATAGAAAAATGCATTTACCAAAACGAAAAAAAATGAGACATGTCTCTCTTTTCCTTAATGATTTGGAGAAGTGACTTTTACTAGTTTTCCAAATTTGGAAAAGGCAGATGCTACAGTGCCGCTGCAATGAATTTGCACCTAGTGGTGGGTCCGGTCCCGCTCCGATGTCGATTCCATTCGAGTACCTCCATCCTCGTACCTTACCCCTTATCCCTACCCTACCCTACTCTACCCACCCAACCCCCACCCCGCGTACCCATTTTTCCCTATAATGACCTTACCCCACCCCCTACCACATGCCCCTACCTCGGCCCCACCCCGATCCACCCAACCCTACCGCCACCCCCCTACCACCTCGACCCCACCCGACCCACCCTACCCTACCCCCACCCCTCGTATATTACCTCTTACCCCTACCTTACCCCTTACCACCTACCTCGGCCCCACCCCACCGCCATCCTACCCCCACACTCGTACCGCCATCCTACCCCCCCACCCCACCCGGATCCCGGGCCCACCCTACAACCATCCTATCCCAACTCCCTACCCTACCCCTACCTACCCCAACCCCAACCCTACCCACTACCCCTACCCTTACTGCCATCCTACCCCCCACCCTACCCCTTCCCTACCTTGGCCCCACCCTGGTCCCGACCCCACCCTACCGCCATCCTATCCCAACTCCCTACCCTACCCCTACCTTACCCCTACCCTACCCACTACCCCACCCTTACCTCTAACCACGACCCTAACCCACCCACTACCCCCACCCAACCCCCAACCCCTAGACCTTACCACCCCACCCCGACCATACCCCTTACCCCACAAAGGTAAATGCCTGGGCTTACTCCCCTGAGAGCCGCCTCTGAACTACGGCCAGCCGCAGCAGAATCACGGCCAGCACCCCGCGCCACGTCAGCAGCAGTTCAACGGCCATGGCCCGCCTCAGCCGCAACCTATGGGACAATCGGGTACAGTATTATGTAATTTTGTTGGGTCATTGTTGAATACGCCTGCCTTATCTACTTTTGGTACTAACTATGGTTCTGCAGGTCCTTTGTTTTTTGAGAATAGTTTTGATTCTGTCGCTCACTCTGTTGTCTGCCAAATTTGTCATTCCCCAGGTCATTCTGCGGTTGCGTGTCCTGACTCCGGTGCCTCCGCTCATATGACCTCTAATGAAGGTATTTTGGTTAATATATATATTTCTACTCAACCGCTGACTGTTGCGGTGGCTAATGGTACTAATTTACCGATTATGACTGTTGGTAATTTGACATTCCCTGCTATGCCTGGACCTCTCCATTTAAAATTTGTTTTTCATGTCCCTCATTTGAAATATAATTTAATATCCATTCAAAAATTATGTGCCGATAATAATTGTTTTGTAATTTTTGATAAATCTTCTATCTATGTAAAGGACAAAATTTCGGGGGAGGTGCTTCTTCAAGCTTCTAGTAAAGGTGGGGTCTATCCTATTTCCCTTAGCCACTCTCAACCGATTGCTCTTATTTCTCATGTTGCTCGTGGACCTGTTTGGCATAGACGCTTGGGACATTGTGGCCGCCGGATTTTAGATAAACTTAAAAAGTCTGGGCCTATTTTAAGTACTTCTACATTTTCTCATGATTGTGTTTCTGTAGATTAAGAAAATCACAACGATTACCATTTGAGGAAGTTTGGCAGAAATCTACTTCTCCTTTATTTTTAATTCATTCTGGTGTGTGGCAATCTCCAATTCTTTCTGAGAATGGTTTTAAATATTATGTTTTATTTATTGATGATTATTCTCGTTTTACTTGGCTCTATCCAATGCGCAATAAAAGTGAAATTATATGTCATTTTCAGCATTTTAAAGCAATGGTCGAAAATTTATTTAACTCCACAATTAAAATTTTTTAAGGAGATGGAGGAGGTGAGTTTGATAATTATGGTATGAGTAATATTTTTCTTCAGCATGAAATTCTTTTTCGCAAATCTTGTCCTGACACTCCCCAGCAAAATGGTGTTGCTGAGAGAAAACACTGTCATCTACTTGAATTAACTCGCACTATGCTTCTTGAGGCTAAGTTGCCAGCTAAATTTTGGGTATATGCGATTTGTACGGCTACCTATATTATCAATCGTCTCCTTACTCCAAATTTGAATTGAGTTTCTCCTTTTGAAAAACTATTTCACCATACTCTTGACTTCTCTTTTTTGCGTGTTTTTGGGTGTGCCTGTTTTCCAAATTTTAATGCCACATCTGCCAATAAGCTTTCTCCCCGATCTACGTTGTGTGTATTTTTGGGGTTTACTCCTGAATATAAAGGTTATCGTTGTTTTGATCCTACTATCAGAAAAATTTACATTAGTAGGAATGTGAGGTTCTTTGAAAATTCTTTTCCATATCGAGACTTAGTTTCTTCCTCAAAGCACTCGGCTGTTTCCCCATTGTCACTGGCGTCTACAGTTGAACTCCATGAATTATCCATTCTTCCACCCGCTCCCGCTAATTTCTCAGCTTTTATGCCCCAGCCAGCCTACCTGACTGCCAGCACACCGGCAACACACCCCAAGCCGACTGCCAGCCCGCCGACAACTCCCCAGCACCAGACCACTAGTCCACCTGCGGATCAACCAACTGCCAGCCCACATTTAACCCACAAGTCAGCTACTCCGTCATCTTCTCCACCCACCACACCGTCCCCTAACCCAAACCAGTCAATCACTCCTTCTCTGCCGACCGACCCAAACTCTTCGCCATTGGACCATACTTCTCTCATTCTTAGTCCTGCGTCGACCATCACTCTCCAGCCGGCACCTCCCCTTAACAATGGTCATCCGATGCAAACCCGATCAAAATCGGGTATTTTTAAACCAAAATCAATTTTTACTTTAAAAATGGATATATCGGCATGTGATCCTACTTGTTTTTCCACCGCTAATAAAGATGCTAAATGGAGGGCTGCTATGGCAGAAGAATTTAATGCTCTTATTGACAATCAAACTTGGGATTTAGTTCTGTTTAATCCTCGTAAAAATGTGGTTGGTTCTAAATGGATTTATAAAACTAAATTTAATTCTGATGGGTCTATTGAGCGTCATAAGGCGCGTCTGGTTGCTCAAGATTTTACTCAACAAGCTGGTGTGGATTTTTCAGACTTTTAGTCCGGTGGTTAAACCCACCACAGTTCGTATCACCTTATCTCTTGATGTGTCGTTTGGTTGGAATATTGTCAGTTAGATGTTAAGAATGCATTTCTTCATGGTAATTTAACAGAAGAAGTCTATATGTGTCAGCCCCCTGGCTTTATTCAACCTCAGTTTCCTAATCATGTTTGTCACCCCCGAAAGGCTATTTATGGTTTAAAACAGGCTCCGAGAGCTTGGTTTTACAGGTTTGGTAACTTTCTGTTGACTCATGGATTTGTTTGTAGTAAATCTGACAATTCTTTCTTTATTTTTCGTCAAACGTCCATTATTCTATATCTCCTTCTCTATGTTGACGACATTATTATTACTGGTAATTCTCCCTCCTTCATCCGCTCCTTTATCTCTTGTCTTGGACGTTATTTTGCAATGAAGGATTTAGAGGATTTACATTTTTTCTTGGGTGTCCAAGATGTCTGTCTTTCCACAGGGTTATTTCTATCTCAACAAAAATATGTGTCTGATTTACTGACTAGGTTCCATCTTCACACTCTTAAGCCAGTTCGTGCCTCTCTTCCTACACGAACTAAACTATCTCTCACTGATGGAGATCTCCTTGCAGATCCTACTGAGTATTGGAGTATGGTTGGTGCTTTACAGTATTTAACCATGACTCGACCTGATATTACATTTGTTGTTCACCTGGTGTCCCAATTTATGCATGCTCCCCCACTTCACATTTTTTGGCCGTTAAGCGTATTTTTAGGTACCTTCAAGGGACTCCGGACCATGGATTATTACTTCATCCAAGTGCCACTTCTCCTACATTACATGCCTATTCTGATGTTGATTGGGCTGGGTGTCTTGATAGCAGCAAGTCCACATCCAGTTTTGCTATATTTCTGGGTCAAAATTTAGTTTCTTGGAAGTCCCAGAAGTAGCTTACTGTCTCTTGATCATCCACAGAAGCTGAATATAGGGCCATTGCTTATACCGTGCAGGACACACTACATATTCGCTCTATACTGTTTGAACTTGGGGTTCCCATTACCACGCCTGTTCAGCTATTCTGTGATAATGTCTCAGCATCATATTTTTCCATTAATCCTATTCAACATGCTCGCAGCAAACATATCAGCATTGACTATCACTTTGTTCGTGAGAGAGTATCCCATGAAGATCTGGTTATTCGCTATGTTCCTACGCAGTTTCAACTCACTGATATTTTCACTACATGTTTGTCTCCTCAGCGTTTTGTTTTTCTTAGGGACAATCTGCGCGTTGTTTCTCCTGCACAGATTGAGGAGTGTAATAATGTATTAATTAGTCTTAATAGGTTTTCCTATTTTATTCAGTTTCCTTATGTATTCAGGACACATATTTTATTATTTATATGACATTCAGGACTACCACATTGGTAAGTCTGCCATTATTCTCACACTTTGAGGCTGCTAAAAAACTAGATTCACAATGGATTTCCAATTAAAAGAGTTTTCTACTTTTATATTATACAATAAGCATAACTACCAATGTCATTTAAAGTCCTGCAACCCATTCATAATTAAAAAAAAAAATAAAATAATAATATTAAAGTTATGAGAGTTCTTCACTGACTCCAGCTACACACTACGGACTCGATGCACAAAACTGTGATTCTTGTGCAATGAACACCGCTTGCTTCTCCTCCTTTACCTCCAAACCAGACTCTAGAGGCTAAAGCATACCAAGCCGCCCACAAGAAATGCAAACAGGCTTACAGCCATAAGTACCTTGGGCATGAAAATAGCAGATGAAGCAGAGCACAATGACATCTTTGGGTATGCACAGGCAATCCTTTCACCTTGCGCTTTTGCCTTTGCCGTTGCAGCCACTTCACTGTCATCTTTCCCACAACCTTCAAGAATTGTATTCTGAATCTTAGTGGCACTAGAAGCATCTTCTTTGGAATCTGTATTATCCTGCCAAGCCAGATAAAAAATAAGTTACAATAACAGACAAATGCTTGGAAATGATGAGGTTTCATTATTGTGAGGAAGAGCTTACATCAGTTATTCCTGATTGTTCGCTTTCGGCCTGATCTGAGTCTCTACGCCGGATACAATCAACAGGTCCAACTTGAAATTTCTTTTGCAAACGAATTCTCCGATGAGCGGTGCCTTGTTCCGCTAACTGCGGATGATCACCAGGTTGATTTTGCACCTGTCTGGACCTGAATTTTATTTTAGGTCCAGATATGGTGCCATCATTAACAGCACACTGTGGTTGAAAGTATACCATTTCAGGGGCCTCAATCCCACTAGAAACAGAAGATAAATCACCCGTTCCGTAATAATTATTGTCCAGGAGATCTAAATTCCAGTTCTGGTGATCACTTCCCAAACTTGGAGCAGTGTAATCGCCAAAATATGGATTTGCAGCACAATTAACCTGTCTTGGAAGCACCCCCTCTTGATTATTTGTCACAAACAGTTGATTTACAAAACAACCCAAATCAGCCTGAAAGAGACGCAAGAAATTAGGATTTTATTTCACAGCAGAAGAAACCAAATATACCCATAAACCAGTTTCTCACAAACAAATGGCGCAATAAGAATCTTTATAAGTATGTTTGGATCTCAGAATATGCGGGACAGGAACAAAAATGTTATATATATATATATATATATATATAGGTATACCTTATATATATATACCTATATATATAGGTATATATATAGGTATACCTATATATATATAGGTATACCTTACCGGAGCCGCCGTGCGGCCTCCACGTTTTGAAGGCCTTCCTGGTGGAATTTTTCGATGAAATTTTATGAGCATGTTCTTCATCAAGTCTAGTACATCCATACCAAATTTCAGAAAAAAATTCAATCGGGAAGGCAGTCAAACGATTTTTGGAAGATAACTGCGTTTTATATGTATATAAAGGGTGCAGTTATCTACCAAAAATCATTTGACTGCCTTCCCGATTGAATTTTTTGCTGAAATTTGGTATGGATGTACTAGACTTGATGAAGAACATGCTCAAAAAATTTCATCGAAAAATTCCATCGGGAAGGCCCTCAAAACGTGGAGGCCGCACGGCGGCTCCGGTAAGGTATACTTTACCGGAAGAGTTCCCTATATATATATATATATGAGAAATATTCAGGTCAGGTATACCTGACCACTGCCCCCGTCCGGCCTCCTCCATTTGGGGGTGTTCCCGATGGTATTTTTTGCTCAAATTTTTTGTGTAGGTTCCTCATTAAGTCTAGTTCATCCATACCAAATTTCAACCAAAAATTCAATCGGGAAGGTCGTCAAATGATTTTTGCAAGTTAACTGGTCCGGAATATGTATATTCCGGACCAGTTAACTTGCAAAAATCATTTGACGACCTTCCCGATTGAATTTTTGGTTGAAATTTGGTATGGATGAACTAGACTTAATGAGGAACATACACAAAAAATTTGAGCAAAAAATACCACCGGGAAGGCCCCCAAGAGGAGGAGGCCGGACGGCGGCTCCGGTCAGGTATACCTG